ATCAGTGCTAATGTTTATGGGTGTCTGGCTCACCCTTGGATATTTACTAAGTAGCTCTGTTCAAAGTGTTCGGAGCCACACCCGACCTAAGGAAGGTGTTCAGCCAATGTCAGAACGGCCCCACCCCCTTCTCAGTGCCAGGTGGGCAAGGCCAGTCTTCCCCCTGAATGACTGCACGCGGCACACCAGCTCTCAGGGGCGGGGAGCCAGGCACTCGGCACACTGGTTTCTCCATTGAACAGAAATGACCCACCATGTAATCAGACTGTTGATGAGGGTGGTGTGAACGTGGACCTGCCCTAAAATGCTCCGAGCCCCATGGGGTGAGGCACAAACAGGAGGAACAGGAGGGAGGACACGCTCAGGCCGCAGCGAGTGACTCGCACTCAGTGGCAAAGCTTCACATCCATCCCAAGGTGAAGGCAGAGACGTCGGAGCTGGGCCTCCAAAGGATGAGTTAGAGGCGATGGGGGCAGGAGGAGGATTCAAAGGGAAGGGACAGTGCCATCAAAGGGTCACCCCTCGCGTGGGGACTGAGCACTGTGGCACGTGGCTGAGAGAGGCCCTGCAGGGCCAGGCTGCGGGCGCAGGCTGGCAGAGCGAGCCCGATTCAGACGTTGCTACTGGACCCGCAGGCGATAGCCCGGCGTGGTGTCGGGGTCACAGCGGCTGACCTGTCCAGGCCGACAGTTGCCTGTAGCCGCACACATGTGGCTCGGAGGGGCCCAGGCCGCCTAGAGAAGCAACAGGCCAGCTTCACTTACGGCCCAGCCCCAAATCCCTCCCATTCATGGCCAATGGCTTTACTGGTCTTTTCTGGTCATAAAAGTAATGCCAGATCACCATTTTGAAAAATCCCAATACAGCCTTTTTGTGTATATCCTTTTAGACTTTTCCTAGGCATATGATCATATTTTAAGGTAAAAATATAATCTATAATACAAAAATATATAAATACCTATGCATTAAATCATCTAATAGGTAGTGAACATCTCCTGTCAGATGCAGATCTTTATAAATGAAACAGCAGTCTGACCTCTCATTCCCTGTATCTAGTGGGCGCCAGGACAGAGACTTTCTGTCGTGGCACTATCGACGTTTTGGGTTGGATTATTCTTTGTCATGGGGGACTGGCCTGTGCACTGTAGGATATTTAGCAGCATCCTTGACCTCTACCCACTAGATGCCAGAAGCTCTCCTCCCCCACCGTTCTGACAACCAAAAACGTCTCTAGATGTAAAATATCTCCTAGGGAACAAAACCTCCCTGGATGGGAATCACTGTCCTGGAGTAAAAAGACAAAGTTTAAAGAAACAAAAACTCCGCTGAACTTAGGTATTTTACATTTCATCTTTAACTCCCACAGGTGGCTGGGCGGCCATGTGTGCATCTGACAGATGATAACCTCAGGTGCGGGCGCGGGCGCTGGCCCTGGAGCCGCCGTCCACACGCAGAGGGGAGGGCTGGGTGCCTGCGGGGCTGCCCGAGGAAGCCCGGGGCTCTGCAGTGCCACCCCTGCCCGCTGCTGTTTCAATCAAAACGCATTTACTTATTGCGTACACTGAGGGAGTCAGTTTTGTTAAAAATAAATAAATTCTGATGCTTTCTCCACAGCCCCCCAAGAAAGTTACTGCTAAAATCCTGGGGCACTGTCAGGCAGGCAAAAGCCCAAGAGGGCAGGGGTGTGGCGTCTACAGATCCAGTGAAGGGCAGGAGAGAAGCTGGAAGAGGGGAGGGAGGGAGAGAAGAAGTGACCGCTAATGCTGGGAGAAGCTCGCTTACTCGCAGGTGATGAAAACCTTCTGGAATGAGAGAGTGGTGATGGCTGTAGTTATTTTAAAAAAGAAAACAGAGCCAAACTGAGAGGCTGTGTTTGAACAACAGCCTTGGGATTCATCCCGCCACCCACTGCCACCCCAGACTCGGAGAGGCGGGTGCAGGGTGAAGGCTGAGAGCCCAGAGCCACAGTTTCATGTGAAAAGGGCCCAAGAGTAAAATAGTGTGTGAGTGCACCTGCACATGCGTATGTGTGTGCGTGGCTGGGCTCTGTCTCTGTCTCTATCCCTCACCCCACACACACTTCTTGCCTGCCCCCTTGATCCCACGGAACTGGGATGACCACCTGTAGATTAGGTAAGAGAAAGACAAGCTGTGGTGATCGACTCTGGTGAGGCAGAATGGCCCCGGGGTCCTGAGGGGAAGGGCCAGGTCTTTGACCTGGGGCTAAAACATCGCTACAATGCTCCAAGAATTGTGTGCAGAGTACACAGGACAAAAAGCCCTGCTCAATGGTTCCCCCTGGTCAAATCCCTCAGTTAGATGCTCCTTGTGCCCCACAGCCTGTCCTTACTCCATTGCTGTGGTGGGCACAGAGGCACGGTTGTGTGCACATTATACACAGGAGTTATTATACCCATGGTATGTACTGTATTTTGCTGTGTATATGATGCACCACATTTTTGACCCAAACTTTCAGGAAAAAATCTTGCATTTTAATTCAATTATTTATTTATTTATATTTAGATACTTGTTTTGTGTATCATAAGGAATTTTAGCATTTATTTTTGAACATATTGTGGTACAAGAAATTTTATGTAACAAATAATTACAAAGCACAAAAACAAATATGAGCTATTTCCAGTACTACCCATGTATAATGCACATCCTTATTTTTCCCCTCAAAAATGTGGGCAAAAAAGTGCACATTATACCCGACAAAATGCGGTAATCATTCCTGAGAGAGGGACAGTGGAGACTGTCCCGGGGCCTCCTGCAAAGCCTGTGGACAAGCAGTGCTGACCTGGGAGGATCCCTCCGGGCAGGGAGGGGCTGCGAAGGCCACATGGGTTTGCCAGCTTCAGAGCTGGGAGATGGCGTGGGGCTGGTGGAGGTGAGGATCTGAGCCTCAGCAGCACAGCTGGATTTGGGAAGCAGTGGGCGCCTCGGAAGAAGAGACCACATGGGACTAGAGCCCTGGCCTGGGACCACTCTCTCCTTGCTGAGCCCAGGGGACCCAAGCCCGCTTCCCTAAGACGCCCGAGAGAATGGTTCAGGTATGAGTTTCTGACTTAAAAAAAAATATATGTAGAAACACAAGGGCCATCCACTAGCGGAGTGTGTTCAGTTGTCATGTTACACTTTATTTACTGAACTGCACGTGGTTCACAACCCATACTTTTCAGAGGTCTTTTTATAAAAGCACATGAAAATATGCCTCATTTTAAAAACTTGACGGCATTATTATTTATTACATTCTATTGCTATATCATTAATTACTGAAACAGTCCTGATGGATCAACTCCTTGTTGCCATGGCAACAGTGGGATGGAAAGTGGGGCATCAGCAGGCTGGTGAATTCTTGTGAATGTGTCTGATCTGTTTAAACCAAACACCGATTACTGTCTTTTATGTGGGAAATTTTGGGCTTGGCTGACAGCCAAGAGCCTGTTCAAAAATGTCAATCTGAAGAGCCCATGAAGAACCCTGAGTCACTTGTTCCTTGCCACACACGTTCTCATTCATTAAGTTAATAAACAATCAGAAACTGACCCCATCAGCGGCAATGAGAGCTGACACGAGCCCTGGGCTGCCTGACCCCCAGGATGCGGCCAGTCTCTCTTGGCCTTTAGCCACTATTTGCTCCCAACTGTTGCATCATATCCAAACTTTGCTCACGGGTGTTCTTTCTCCCCAGCTGTGACGGGAGTCACAGTGACCTCGTGGCATCCACGCCAGGGTCCAGCACACTCCAGAGAGACTCAGACACACTACTGTTTTCCAGTGTTTGGTGGCAGGCAGGAATAAGGCCAGCTGGCCTGCCTTGCCTTTGAGTGTGGCAGCCCAGTGGAGTTGTAACTGTATTACAGGTTTGTGGTCACACGTTTGTGTACCAGATGCTCCCTTCCTTTCCTCTCACCCATCACAGCCAATAATTCAGGGTGACAGAACACATCGCATGGTTACCACGCACCAAGGAGGGTCCTGCTCTCCACCGCCACCCTCTACGCAAAATTCCAGAGGCAAAGATTTGGTGATAAAGGAAAGGAGCCTTTATTGAAAAGCTACACAGTTTTGGAATAACACCTTTCCACATGCTTTAGTCACTTCAGCCTATCATTAAGGCTAAACTCTCTAACACTTGAGTTCTCTTATCATTCCCCCTGTTAGTTTTTAATTATCTTATTTCTATCAGGTTAGTTCACAAACTAAAACAACGTAATATACAAAAGCTACACAATTTTAGAAGTATGGCAGGTTTCTGCCGAAGGGCTCGTCTCCTCTAGGGCACCCAAGGAAGAATATCCCTGCCACCCTCTGCCCAGCCAGCCCGACCCTAGGCCGTGTCTGGAGTTTCTTCTCCACCCAGAACACCGTCCGCTGAGAAACGCAGGCAGCGGCAGCACGATCACCCAGGCATCCTCCAGGAGGAGAGACACAGCGAGCCTGGGAGCCCAGGAGCTCACCTCTGCCCTCTTTTTATTCAAGGCGCTCAGGAGGCATTCAGTTGCTCAGCCAGTTCTGCCCTTGACTGTTTACTGTTGCCTCGGGCAACCTCCTCCTACAGCCCCGTCCGTATTTTCCCCAGTGATCTGATCAGATTTTTTTGTGTCAGCGTCCTGCCAAATTTACAGGTCAGGTCACCAAATCCCTGGAATGAATTCCTAGCAATGGAATTTTTAAATGAATGGGCTATGCACATAAATTTGGATACTTTGTGTCAAACTGTCCCCCCGAAAAAGCCTGCATTTTATGCAAGTTTTATACATGTAAATTTGAAATTGCATGATTTTCAGAAACCACATGAGTTTCCCTACATTTCAATTTTTCAAGGGGAACCATAAAATTTCAAAACCAGCTGGTAGAGTGAATCATACCCTCTTGTCTGGCAATAAAAGATAAAACAAGGGAAGGAGACCAGACTCATTTTCACTGGAAAGATACAGATGATGGCACTTGTCCCGCTCACTTGTGACCACAGCAGGGTGCCCTCCATACGCAGCTCAGTTTTCTTTTTGTCGCCAAAGCACAATGACAGGGGGAGTCCCAGGCTGGGGCTGGGCAGGCGCAGTGCCTCCTTTGTGAAAGATTTCTGATGACTTCCCAGGTTCCTCCTGTTTGCGGGGAGATAATGTGGAGAAAAGGCTGAAGAGAAATTGGCACCTCGGAAGTTAACTCAAAAGTCTAGCAGGCCAGGAGCCCACAAGCTAGAATTTCTGAGGTCCGAAGCTGAACAAAGAGGTCCTACAATTTGACTCCACATCTTCCTCCAACCCCCGTCACAGATGGCCTTTTACTTATTTAATCTTTTTTACAAACATTTGCAGTGTTTACTGTGCCAGGTGGCATTCTCAGCACTTAACACATCTGATCTCATTTATTCTTATGATGAGATATTATGCTCATTTTTACAGGCGAAGATACTGAGGCACAGAGACATTCAGAGGCTTATGCAAGGTCGCAGAGCCTAGAAGTGGTGTATTTGGGTTTGATCCCAGGCGCTTTGACTCCATTTAAACATGACAGTGATGAATCACTTAAATGCTACAGAAAAATTAATAAAGATTTTAAGGTTGAATGTGTGCTTTTTACAATATAAGGTATTCAAAAATAAAGGATTGTAATTATTGTTGAGTTCTTACATAGTCGACTCTTGATCATTTGGAATTGATAAAAAGTAATGTTGACGTAGTTCGGCATGAAGTGCTTTTGTGCACATAACTTTAGTCCTCTATCAGACATTTTAACAACGAGGCTCAGAGAGATTAAGCTACTTGGCAGTGCCTGCCAACCGGAACCTGAAAGAATCAAGATCCAAACTCAGATCTGATGAACCCCAGAATTTATGCTATGGATCCACCATGTGACGTGTTTGGTGACCATGTGTGTTGGGACAGATCAGATCAACATATCCTTTGATCATCGGTGATTTCAGCCACAGGGTGACGGTGCAAACAGGGTCATGTTAGGACACAGTCAGTGGCCACATAACAGAATTATCCTTGATGTGAAACTGCATGTTCTATGAACAGCTGGTCCCAAAGGTTGTTCATCTGAAGTAACAATTCTTACCACAACCAAGGAAAGTTGTCAACTTTTGAAGGAAAACGGACCTGTGTTAGAGTTCCTCTGACTGGCTGAGGAGCTTAAGCAAACCATTTGAGCTTTGCCAGCTTCAGTTTCCTCATCCTTAAACAGGAAGTTTAGACTCTCAGAACAAATTAAGCCCATTGGCCAGGCACTTCCCAGGGAAAAGGAAAACAATAGGAGCCCAAGCCATGAAAAGTACAGAAGGTGGAGACTGACCAAAAGCAATCATCTTGATGTCTTTAGGATAAATACTATATAATGAGACACACTATGCAGAGGATTAAAATTGGGTGTGGTGACACAGCGAGTGAGATTAGCACGGAATGAATGGTTAGGGAAAGCGCCTCTGAAGTGACGTATCAGTGAAGAGTGAACACGAATGAGACCGGAAGGGAAGAAACAGCTGGTGCAAAGGCCCTGAGGCAGTGTTGAGCCTGGGAAGCCCAGGGAACTGAAAAGCAGCCAACACACCTGAGCAGGGGTGTTGGACCAATTTTAAGTGATGACAGGAGGTTCAATTTGATTCGAAATGTGATGGGAAGCCAGAGTTTTAAGAAGGGGAGTAAAATAATCTGACTTGCATGTTTCATTGCCACTCTGGTTGCTGTGTGGAGAATGGGAAAGAGAGTAAGGCAAGAGAGACAGAGAAAGGAAAAACAGCTTTTCTGGTTTGGGTCTCAAAATCCAGAAACTTCAGCTTCTTAATGCAGGAACTGAGTGCAATTTCTCTTTTCTATCAGATTAAGAAAACAGGATGTGCATGGTAGCATGAGATGCTGGGTTCAGACAAGTATACAGGATTGCAGAGAAGCTGGCCTTACCACTCTGGTGTGGGTAGTAGAGCGAGAGACCTCAGTGCTTTCAGTTTCGACACCTTTCTGCATCCTGCTAAACCACTTCTTGTATTCCATTCGCACCTGCAAGTGTGAGGTACATAGAGGCTTGTGTTCCATCCAGAGTTTGGTTCAGAAGGAAGGACCCTAAAATAGGAGACTAAAGATATAAATGCCTAGCCTTGCTCTCTACAGCTCTTTTCATTGGTTTACTGTATAATCTTGGCCACGCTTCTGTTGATTTATTTTATTTAAATTTGACTTCCCCAGTGGTAGGAAAGGTGCTTACTAAATGCCAAGCACCGTGAGACTTTGTATATGGCAGTAATGACGAAAGTGATGATGGTGGTGACAATGGTGATGATGACGACAGTGATGGGAATGAAAACAATGAAGGATGGTGGTTATAAAGGTGACGATGGTAGTGATAATGCAGGTGAGTATGGTCACGATGGTGGCGGTGATGATAGCAAAAGTAATGATGGCGGTGATTATGATGTTGAAGGTCACCGTATGCTAAACACTAGCTATGTTTAATGCACTTATGTACAATATATCGTTTAATTCCACCAGTAAGGAACTTCTTATACCCAACCACCACTAAAGATGAAGACATGGAGGCTCCTGGAGGTCTGGTGACTTGTCTAAGGCCCCACAACCAGCATTCAAAATCTTACTCCAGAGCCCTGATACTAAGCCACCTATTGTGATTCTATGAGGTGTCTTCCTTTAACCTCTTTAACATGTTATAAAGGACAGCTGGATATATAATACTCAACATTAATTTACCAAAACACTTAAGGTGTATCTTACTTCTGTGTGCAAGGAGTACCAAGCATTAAGAGGGCACTAACAAACAAAAGAGAAATTAATGAAGTGTTAAAATGTCTTTCTGTCACTTGCATCTTAATTGCTCGTAGTTCCACTCACTAGCAAAGGAAAACTGTTCCCAGTCTTCTGTGAAGAGTAAAATTATAATAATGACTTTCACTGAGAGCTTGATATATGCCAAGGGCTGTGTTGAGATTGATATTGAATTGATATTGAATTATGTCATTTAAGTATTAACCCTGTGAGGTAGACATTGCCACATTTTCAGATGAGAAACTCAAGGCTCAGAGAGGGAAGCAGCCTGCCCAAGGTCACACAGCAACCCACTCAGTGGAAAAACTGGGATGAAAGCTGAGTTTATGGCAGATTCTGCCAAATATTCCAGTGGCCTCCATGAAGTGCACCTCACTACAGGAGGATTATTCATCCTGTCCGTGGTGAATTCTGGTTTGGCCATGTGACTTGCTTTGGCCAGTGAAAGAGAGCTAAGCTACTCGGTGCCATGGTCCCTCTCCTGTTGCTATGAGAACACTGACATGCTACATAGGGGCTACCTTTTCAGTCTACATCCCCAAAAGAAGACAATGTAGCTCAGGCAACTATGTAGCATGAGCCAGAAATAAATCTTGTTGTTGTAGTAAGCCCCTGAAGTTAGAGGTGGGAGGACAATTTGTCACTGCAGCATAATCTACCTTATCCTGACGGATAACATGCTCTGCTATGAACTGGTTTGTGTCCTCCACTCCCTAAATTCATATATTCAAGCTCTAGCCTCGCAATGTAACTATATTTGAAGATATGGCCTTTATAAAAGTAATTAAGGTTAAATCAGTTCATAAGAGTAGAGTCCTGATTCAATAGATTGCGTCTTTACAAAAAGAAGCATGAAAGCTCTCTCTCAATCTCTCTCCCGTGTGAGGACATAGCAAGAAGGTGGTCATATGCAGGAAGATGGATCTCACCAGAACCTGACCACGGTGGCACCCTGATCGCAGAATTCCAGGCTCCAGAATTCTAAGATAAATATCTGTTGTCTAAGCCACACGGCCGCTACTATTTTCTTATGGCCACTTGAGCAGATGAATGCATGATCTTAAGAGACATGCTCAAATGATAAATGTTAGAAAGTTAAATGAAACCCAGAGCACATGGCGCAAACCCAAGCAGCAGCTCAACCTACTTCCCAGACTTAAAGCAACTTCAAAATATAAAAGGTCAGAGAAGGACAAGAAATAAACGACCATTCAACAAGCTCAGAGATAAAGTAATTAGCTTTACCTGGCGATTAAGGAGACAGTGCACCACAAAGAGCAAAACCCCCTGCAGGACATTGATGATGGTGAACAAGTAGGCAGTTATCAACCCAATTGTCTTCCCAACTTCATCAACCATAAAAAAACCAAGGCTCCAAGAACAGCCCAAGATAAACAGCTGAGCAATGGCTTTAAATGTCATGACTCTGAAAAGGAAAAGGAGTAATTATTACCATTTCTGAGGGACTCGCTGCTTGTCGGCGCTGTGCTCAATTCTTTGTGTGCATCACCTTATTGAAATTTCATAACGTCATGTGCTTAGGTGGCTTCCACAAAGGTATGTAGCTTGAGGAGGTGGCAGTACCCATGTTTTCAATTATTGCTTCTGAGAATAACACTTTCTCCTACTCTTGGAAATGATTTCCCTGCAGAGTCTCTTATCTGGACTTATGGGAAGATTTACAGAAAGTGCATTCTGGAAATTGAAAAGATGTAGATGATACCATGAATCCGGAACACAATACGGTGTTGGATTTCTTCAAATAAAAATTGTGTTTAGAGTGGTATTTTTGATGGCCATGATCTAGGCGAGCTGATGTGTATAAATGTGTGTGCATATTCGTCTGTGTGCATGCATGGAAGTATGGAGGAATACTGAGAAGGTGACACTCTGGCCCTCTAGGATCAGAAACTGAGGCTGAGCGGTTAGATTGGTCTCCTAAGTACATGAGATCAAAGGCAGGGTCTGAAGTTGGACAGAAATTCCTTTAAGTTTTGTCCACATGACTCACCAATGCAAAGTTCCCACTGTTGGGTAAGATGAGCAGTTTGTTCCTCTTATCAATAGGGATATTGGTAATACCCATCAGGGAGGCTGGTGTCATGAGAATTCAATGAACTAATCTTGGCAAATGCCCAGCATCTATCAAGTTCCTAATCAGCATGAGTTGCCATCAGTATTTTTAATAATTTAGGTCAGTACCAATGAGAATTATTTCTACAACCAAAGAGAGTGGAATCCAAAAGTAGGGCAACTCTCAGAGGTAAAAGGATAATGTTGATATGCTTGGCTACACAAATGACGCACCCAGTGAATGTTTATTGAATAAAGAGATGAGAGAATACATGAAATGACCTGAAAATTATAGTTTTTACTTCTATAAATCGTCCTGCAAGTACTCTTTAGTACAGTACCAGGAAATTTTATATCAGTTTTGTATGGGTTTCCTCTCTTCCTGGCAGAGCTGTCCTGTAGGGAAATCTGGATCTCACTGATTCTGGTACCTTCTTACCTGGTGTCTTGAATGGTGGAAACCTCCTTATTGAGGGAGGAAATTTTGCGTCTCAAAATCCACAGAATTTGGAAGTAGAATATGAAGTTTATCTGTGGAAACAGTGTAAAAAATTGAGTTGGAATTTTCTTTTGAGGCCATATCATGCAATCCAACTCAAGGTGGACCTAACAGTCTTTCCCCAAAAGACACAGGCTTCATAAGGATGGTAGGACATATGCTCTGATCTAAATGGAACGCAGTATATAATCCATGGCACTTGGTGCTTGATCAGAGTGACTATATAATTTATCATTCAAACCAGGACAATGGATATAAATGGAGAGTTCCTGGCCAATAGAAAAACATGTTACTCTATGCAGAATAGATACTTGCTAAATATTTGTTAAATATATGAATGAAGAATTTTTAAAAAGAATGCCCAGTACAGGGTTATATTACATCAAGGCAGAAGCCAGGAAAAGACACAAACAGATAGTATTTCCAGTAAGGGGGTTAATCACATTAGGCTATATTTCCTTATTTTTATCTCATTCCCCTTTAACAGATAAACACTCCCTATCCTTGGCCAACCCAGGGCAGGCACACCAATAACTAACCATCACTGGTCACCTACCAAGATAATGATGGCCACTGGCCCCATGAAGCTCCAGATGAACCCTTTATCAAGATTGAGCCAGCAGCTGTTGAGAGAAAGATAAGGATTCACAGCTTATTTCTCAGAAAAAAGGGGGGTGGTCAATGCACATTTCTGTAACAAGATCTGAGCAATGCCAGGAGCTGCTAAGTTCAGACTTGTTTTTTGATGGAATCAGACATGGATCTACATCAGACACAGGCTGTATGCTCTGAGCCTCAGTGTCTTCAGGTGTGAAGCGTGGCGAACAGAAGCAATGGAAAAACTTAAATGATGGCTGTGGCTATCTACCAAGTCTTGAAATCAGGCTGGGTCAATCCTGTGACTTGGTTCTTCTCCAATAGTGTATTAACTATTCCAGGCATTTGCCACTCCACATAAACATTAGACCCAGTTTGTCAACATCCACAAAATTTTCTGAAATTTTGATTGTGGATGCATTGAACCCATAGATCAAGTTGGGAAGAACTAATTTCTTGGCAATTGCAGTCTTGCTATCCATGAAAATGGACTATCTCTCCATTTATTTGAGCTTTCTTTTATTTCTTTCATTAACGTTTTCCTCATAGACATTTTGTAGGAAATATTTAAAGAAGTAATGTGCACAGTTTTTGAACACAGTTCCTGGCAGAGCTAAGTCTCAGTAAATGTAGGTATCGTAATAATGATTACTATAATAAAAAAGAGTAAAAATTATGTCATTGGAAGGGTATTGTGTAACAGGAATCATATGAAATGTACCCTTTTGGTGGTTATTAGACCACTATGCATAGTGATAAAATTGTACAGAACCAAATACACACAAAGAAGTACAAGTAAAACTTGTATGAATAAGATCGGTGAATTGCTTCAATGTCAATGTTCTGGGTGTGACCAGGAAACTTTGGGAGGTGTGGATAGTTTATTACCTTGATTGTGGTGATGGTATCACAGTGTATGCATATGTCCAAACTCATCCACACGTATACATTAAGTATGTACGATTTTCCGTATATCAATTACATCTCAATAAAATTGTAAAAACAGCTTTAGTTATAAAAACTACCAAAAGAGTATTCTGTCATGGCATGTGTTGGCAAAGGTAGTTTAACATTCTGAAAAGGGACCAGGCAATATGAAACTGGCAAAAATAATAAACAACCGCCAACACTCGGCGGGAAGAAAAGCTTCCAGTCTTAGTTCTATTCCAAGTGTTGCAAACTATGGCCCAAGGACCAAATCTAATCCACCCCTTGTTTTTGTAAATAAAGTTTTACTGAAACACAGCCATACCCATTCGTTTACAACTTGGCTGCTTTCACATCACAAAAGCAACATTGATTCATTGCCACAAGGACCACATGGCCTGCAAAACAGCTACCATCTGGCCCTTTGTAGAAACTTTGCCAACTCCTGATATACTCTACCATCTCCAGAACCATTCTGGCAGGACACAGGGATCAAGTTGGAGACTGGGCATTCTCTGATTTCAAGATGGACAGCCTCCTACATGTTGTTTTAACACATGCGCACCTACTTTCTAACCCAAACCACACTGCCAAAATATCAACTTCTTCAACTAACTTTGCAGAGCTTTGCAAACTTTAGTGAGACAGCAAAACACGGCTGTTATGAAACACTGCTTTGTTAATTTTGGCTAAGTCTCTTTTAGATGTGGTTTTGAGAAAATTTATTAGATTCACTAAAGTCCAGATGTGCTGTGCATGATGTGGTAAACAGTGCTGACCTCATGGAAGGAAGGGATGCGATTCTTCAGATAGAGAGCATTACCTCTGATACAGCACAGACTCTCGAGATTTGTTGCTATTGTTATTCTTTACATTGTGAATGTTTATCTCAACCTAGTCCACCCACTCTTTCAGAATCCTACAGATCATAAAATCCATAGGTTCTTAATGTGGAAGCATGTGAACTTCTTTACCCTCTTGCCCCTGAACTTCATGAAGTTGTATTAAAAGTGTTGTGTGTATGTACATTTGTCTGGGGAAATAGACCTTGAATTTCACCAAAATTCTCAAAGAGATCCAACCCCAAAGATGCTGACAACCACAGCTCTAGGAATTACCAATAGAAAATAAAATCCACGTTTAAGGAAGGACTGATTTGAAGTATAATTCAAAATTGGAAAATGGAATTTAAAGCAATTTTTTTTTACTTTAGATCATGTATTGGCCATGGGTACCACTTCCACCATAAATGGTCTCATCATGCTTACTGAGTATATGTTCCATAATTTTTGTGTCCTACTATTGCAGACACAGCCACGATCAGAGCTGGAATCCCATAGCCTAGAGGGTACATGAACCACTTCATGAATCTGTCTGCGCTGGTGTAGTTGGCCACCTTGAGGTGCCTGACAGTGAGGAAGAGCTGCAGCCCTATGAGGAACATCCAGGTAAAGGCGGCCAAGTAGAGGTAGTGCAATACCCCTGCGATGATGGAGCACAGCACCTGGAAGGGAGAGAAGAGTTAGGAAGGTGGTGTCAATGTTTGTACCTGATTATATCCTCAGCACTTACTTCCAGGATGCTGACTGGAATTTCAGTTCCAACACCTGTGACATTTTTCCTGGGACAACACATTTTCTGGGGGCTTAACTGGCCATTGAGGCCTGCTTCCCCCACGTGTGGGGCAGACCAGAAGCACCAAGAAATGAATGCCTGGGACCAGCCCTCAAATCTTTAACAGATGAGCATTGGTAAACAAATACTGCTTTGCTCTTGCCCTTTGGGAGGCTGTGATGGTTAACTTTATGTGTGAGCTTGACTGAGCTAAGGGACACCCAGAGAGCTGATGTAACATTTCTGGGGGTGTTTGCAAGGGTGTTTCTGGAAGAGATTAACATTTTAATCAGTAGATGACTAAAGAAGATGGCCCTCACCAATAAGGGTGGACATCATCCAATCCACGCAGGGCCTGAATAGACCAAAAATGTACAGGAAAGGCAAACCCACTCCCTCTTCTTGAGCTAGGATGTCCATCTTTATCCCTTGGACATCAGCAGTCATGGTTCCAGTAAAATGTTATTTACAAAAACAGACTCTGGGCCAGAATTGACCTGAGCACTGTAGTTGACCAACTTCTGCACATTTTAAAATGAAGAAACTAAGGCCCAGATAAGTTAAAATCTCTCCAAAGATCACATTAGTAAGAAAATGTATTTGAAATCCAAAATGTCAGCAGAGACCACACTTATTCTTAACCACAGCAGTTCAGTGGCTTTTGCGGAGGGTTGGGTGGGGGGGGGGGTATAGATAGTGCTCTTATAACCTTCTGATGGTGAGATCATATTCTACCAGGGTTAAAAAGAGCCTTGGAGAATGTCTGGTACCAATTCTTCCTGGATGTGATAATACAAAGATGGTCATGATCATGACGAAAATAAAAGCTAATATTGTTATGAGTGATTAATCCAGACTATGTTTCGTCTTGCTAAACCCATACCAGAGCCCTATGATGATGCCCCTGTTTTAGAGAGGAAGTTTAAAAAGGGGAAGTCACTTCAACAAGGTCATATAGTAAGTAGGATGAAGAGCTGAGTTTAAGTGCAAATTGCATGACAAGGACACTGTCCACCAACCGTGTAAGCCTCCCTCTATCCCTCAATTCTATTGTAGATTATGGATTTGTCTCTAAGAATGACTTCCCAGCCAGAGACTTTTCCAGCATGCCTTTCAGTTAGGCATGACCAAGCTCTAGCCAATGGAATGTGGGAAGAAGTGCTATGCACCACTTCCTCGGGTGGTACCTATAAACCTCACTCATGGGACTCTGCCCTGCTCTTTTCTCTTTCCAGTTGGCTAAAATGGAGAGGACCCCAGGACGACCTTGCAAGCTGTCTGTGTATGGGAGATAGAAGAGCCTCCATCAGCCTGAGGTTAGAGGATAGACACCCTTCAAATCTATTTGTTCACCCTCTGCTGAAACATACAGGGAAAACGAACTACTCTTGTGATGAGCCGCAGCATTTTGGAGCAGCTCTTGTAAAGCGGCCTAACACCATCAGTCTGACTCTCAACCACTTTGCTCGGTGGCTCCTCTGGAAGCACAGGCCTTGTCAAAATTACAGAGCAGAGCCAAAGTGGGGACTCTCATATTTTCCCCCAGGTGATTATTGCCTCTCCTCCCATCTTTCCTCAAGACAAGATGATGTATTTGTTTATGATAACAAGACAATGTGGTTAAATTACCTACCTGTGGCTCAGTTTGATCAATCCCTGTGAGGAAGAGCAGGTGCGCCAGGAAGAGGCAGATGCAGAGCTGCAGGAGGAGGGAGGTGCTGGTGCTCTGGATGGCTTTGCACAGCAGGAAGGTGAGGGCCGCCAGGAGGAGGCACAGCAGGGAGAGGCTCAGCCCCACGTGGGTGATCACAGCCAGGGTGGGATCTGCCTGTGAACCACCAAAGGAGGGGCCCGTTAAAGTTTCCAACTCTGCGGTTTTGTTCCTGATGGGGAGTCAGAAGGGCCTGGCAGGTCAGCCCCTAAGATGGGCGGCTGAGTCCGTCCGACACACGCTGTTCCCATCTTCAAAATGAGGGCGTACGGAAGAGCACTTACCACACAGGGCTGTTGAAAACCCAAACCACTAGGCTGGTGCCGTTTAATAAAAACATGTGAGCCACATGTGTGTATCACTTTTCTAGTAACCACAGTTTTAAAAATGTGAAAAGAGGTCAAATGAATTTGATTGTTATTTAATAGTTCAAAACATTATTTTTGCTATAATATAATAATATAGCAAAAATACCAGTTCAAACTATAATCAATGTAAAATAATTATGAATGACATATTTGATATTCTTTTTTTCCCACATTAGGCCTTTGAAATCCAGTGTATATTTTACACATGCAGCACATGTCAGTTCAGATGCTATATTTTCAACAATGAAAGTAGAATTTGGTCCTACTAAAAAAATAAAGTTTGGGTTTAACAGAAAAATATTTTACACTGCTTCTTTTTTAATATTTCAATTACAATTGATGTTCAGCGATATTTCATATTAGCTTCAGGTGTACACCATAGTGATAAGGCTTTTTTTTTAACTTAAGTTTTCCCCTCAATAATTTCAGTACCCACCTGAAACCACACACAGTGATTACAATTTTATTGACTATATTCCCATGCTATATTTTATATCCCTGTGACTATTTTGTAACTGCCAATTTATAGATAATCCCTTCACCTTTTTCACCCAACCCTCAGTCTCTTCTCTCTACCTATGAATCTGTCTTTGTTTTGTTTATTTTCTTCTTTCGATCCCACATGTAAGTGAAATCATGTGGCATTTGTCTTTATCTGACTTATGTCACTTAGCACAATAACCTCTAGATGGGCACTTAGGCTGCTACCGTATCTTGGCTATTACAAACATGCAGCCCCAGGGCCTCCTGTTAGGAGCTACAAAGTGATCCGTGGTTGGTCGCTGCCTGTGCTGGGTCTGGATACACGTTGGGGAGACCACACTAAGAACTAAGGCTGGCTGCCAGCAGTACTGGACCTGCAGCAGTTCAGCAAAAGGCACAAAGCACCCCAAGACCTGCCATCACCTAAAGAGCCTCAGGGGGTTCTCGAGTTGGGAGTTAACAGGGTGAGGCCAGTGGAGTTCACCAGGCTAATGATTCAAATTTGGACAGCAGGTGTGGGCTCAACGCAGGCACAATGGCTGCCATCCCTCCAGCCCTTGCCCTGAAGCCACATTCCTCAGGTTCTACCTGTGTGTCTCTGGTGGCCCCAAGGTGAGTGTCTGCAAGCCAGAGCTTATGTGCAGGTCCTTTAAGAAGACACCTGGGTTTTAAGCAGCTTCTGTCTGACCCAGACAGACAGAATCCCCACTGATTTTCACAACCTGATGTTTCCTGGGCTCCTTTTCCCAGCACTTGTGCTCTGGGCTGGGGGGCCAGTACAAGGTTAAAACCCCTCACTCCTCAGCGGGGGACATCTGCAGCTGAGATACCCCTGTAGACTCCCAACCACTGTGCATGGGTTTGAGGCCAGACCATTTCACGTCTCTGCCCCTCCTGCCAGTCTCAGTGTTGCTTATTGTTTCCATCCTTAGCTGTAGGACTTCTGTTCACTAGTCTTTGGATGGTCCTCCAGGTTGATTGTTCTATAATTAGTTGTAATTTTGATGCAGTCATGGAAGGAGGTGAGCACAGCCTCCATCTACTCCACCCTCTTGACTGGAACTCTACAAAGCTTCCTAACTTAAATAAATTAAAATTTAAAATTTTGTTCTTCAGTCACACTAACTACATTTCATGTGCTCAATAGCTATATGTGGCTGGTCATCCTAGAGGATGGTTTCCATGAACATTAGGATTTCTTTGTCTGCCTTGTTCCAGTGTCTGACATATAGTAGGCACTGAAATATTAAGTTGTTGAATGAATTAAATGAATCCATGCATTAATTATGTAATAAAATTGTTTTCATACAGTAAATATTCAATAACTGGGAGCTAAAAAGAAATAGGGGAAGAAGTTAGGTAAATTTCTTTAAACCTGAGTTATCCTAGGCATGTTGGGAAGTCCAAGAGCCTTTGTCTTTTTGTTGGTGATAGTCACCTCCTTCTGGTCTGACCAGGAAGGTTTAGCTGTAACTCTCCTGCAGAGGAACAGATGTTTTTGATCCCAGATCACCTTGGACCTTTCCATTATAGGGGCTGACAACCCAACTTCCCAATGTCTGAGCGCTTCCTTGACTAACCTGACCTCACTCTGCCTATGCCCATGAAATGTCAGATAATTGTCCCCTGGATGTAGCTTTCAACTAACGACTGAAGGGAGGTGGCATATAAACACCCCAGCTCTCTCATGTCCAGTTAGAATGAACTTCACTGATCTCCAGTTAGTTACAGTGCTAACTAGTTTGATAATGCTCTCTACCTGGCTTCTACCCTTTTCCAACTTCACTTCCCCAGTCCCCTTCTGGTGCTTCCTGAAACGACCTCTCAAGTAAGCTTGACTCCACATATTAAGAGCCTTTTCGTAAGACATGGAGCAGATGACCTCCCAGCTTCGCGGACACAGTCAGACTCACAGAAGGGGACCATGAGTCTTGGTACCTTAGGAACATGAGCGAAGAGGACAGCAAAGCTGGAAAGGTGGAAGCATTTGCATTTGGTGTAAGAATCATTGCTGCCCATGAGAGTGCAGCCCTCCGTTGACCAGCTGCCTCCCTCCTGTGATCTTTTCCAGTACACACACAAATTTTTCATTCTCGCATCACCAGGCTGGAAAGAGAATAGCATCAGAGTGACTTTCTTTCTGGTTTTATTTCAGCTTCCTGGGTTGGAAACTGGATGGGAAATCCCCATCATCTGGAACACGTATGGGGAAGAATTTTATACCACACCTGCAAGGGCTTTAGTCTCATGGATTCTGCCCTGTTCTGGTCATCTCAGAGCCCCTGAACTGACCCTTATGAACTGCTTTACCCAGGCAGCTTGTCACTGGTAGGACCAATGAGGAGAACTGGTGAGAGATCACTGGATGATAGCTGAAGAAGCTCCAGTATTTCTTCCATACTTCTTTTCTGCTTCAGGCTACCTCCACCGCCAGCAGGGCAACCCCTCCTTCGTGCCTCCAGCCTTCACTGGGCTCACCCCTCCCACCCCCACCATTGCCTTTTTAGGCTTCAATGTGATAATAGCTTCTCGAAGCCCTCAATATTCTTTGTCAGTTCTTTGAACCTTGGATGATCAGAGTTGGATTCAGATATCTACCAGGACTCTGATAACATACCCATTTAAGTTAATGCATAAAGAACCAGCCCTGGGTTTTTCTCACCTGAGTATGTTTGAAGGTCAGGAACACAGGTTTAGACAGAGGAACTTTTCCCTCCATACCAATGGTGCCACTCACAATATGAGAGTTCATTTTTATGTCCAGTGTTCCTTTTCTGTCACTGAAAAAGGATCCATTCAGAGTATCCCCAAGAGACTGGTAAGTGATAAATGCCACATTATTTACTGAGAAAACAGAAGATAAATCACTTCATAAGTTTGGTGAATTGGAATTAAAACAAAACAAAACAAAAAACCCTGTAAGTCCCCATGCCTTGGCCCAGTGCCTAGAATCTGAAAGTCAAGAGAATCCACCTGAGACATAGTACCTCTTGTAGGTCCTTTGAAAGCACTAGTGCAGTCAATAGCCATTGTGTTATTTCCAGCTTCCAAAACAGTCTTCTCAGTTGTCTCATTGCATCTCTTGGTTTCATAGACTGGAAACATTAAGAAAGCGAGTCCTGCTTAGCTCACTTGTCATGCCTAAGGAGCTTGCTGAAGAATTCCTGTCTGGGAAAGACCCACTGCTGGTGATTTCATTTTCTGCATGCAAGTTGGACCAAACGTCACTCCCTTCCACTTCTCCAGTCGGTGGGGATGAAACGGTCAAAATGTCCTGAGCAACACACACTGGCCACCCAACTCAGAGGGAGAAAGGAGACAGACACACTTTCCAGAGCTGGAATGGGAGGGGCGGGGGGGCAGCTCAACCTTTACCATACAATATTTAAAAGAAAAAAAATAAGTATGTGTACTAGAGGACCTGGTGTGGGAAACTTAGTTTTTGAAGCAAAAGAAGTTTAGCATCTAAAGGATTTCCAAGGAAATAGCGTCTGGAGCAGACCTGCATTTGGAAAGAACCCCTTGAGTGAACTCTCTCCCTGTCAAATAAACACACAGTCTGACAAAAGATCCCTCCACCCATAACCCTTTGGTCATAATGAAAATGACCAAGGTTTCTTACCTATGTCAAAGACAGGATTTTTGTGCTTTCCTGGAGAAGTAAAACTGTCATTCCATATGGCCAATTCTATCCTTTCAAGTAGCTGAGTAGCCTCTTTGGCAATGTACTCCTTGCTTCTATTGTTCCTTAGAGTTGACTTTCAAAGAAATAAAGCAAATTAGGTATTCTTACATAAACTTTAAAAAGCAGGAATATACATAAGTGTGGTTGGGTGAGCCCAGAAGACAATAAGAGTAAGGTGCTGCTAGGGCCCTGTGCTATCAACCTGACAGGACTCTTACTTACCATATGCATCCCTGTAAAGGGTATAGCCTTAGCTTCATTGTATTTATGAAAACAAGAAAGCTTAAAAAATGAGGTATCTGGAACCTACAAAGATCTTATGGAGAAAGATAGGGAATGGGAAATAATGAGGAGATGGAATGAGGTTCTAGAGTTTGATGCAGGTCTTTGGATGATAGCTCGGGCATGAAAACCCTTTCCCGGAGTTTCTCAATGTTTTCAATTGACATTTGAGACCAGATCATGGTTATGGAAGGCTGTCCTGGGCATTATAAGATGTTTAGCAGCATCTTTGGTCTCCACCCACCCACTAGGTGCCAGTAACATTGTAGTTCTGCCAACCAAAAATGTCCCCAAACATTGCCCCAGATATTATCCCCCAGGGACAGAGGACAAAAATCACTCCTGTGTGAGAACTGCTGTATCCTAAAAGTCATAGGGAGACATGGAAGACTAGCGAGCTGTTTCCCAAACCTAGCTTCACCTTACTCACCCAAATGTTCTCAGATGACTGTGTCCCCTTACCAGCGTCCTCTGGGAAAGAAAAATAACCATGTAATCAAATATTGAAGATCATACCCCCCAGCTCGCATCCCTTCTTCCAAGCACCCTAAAGTTGAGTCTTCCTCTGGTGCTTCTACATCCTATCCTATCTTAGTTTTCCTCTAAGAAATCCTAAATGTGTTCTAAAGTAGAATAAAAGAGAATTAGGATGGAACTTCCACTTCAATCATTCAGTCAATAGTATTTATTGAGCAACTACTAAAAGCCAGGCACAATGCCAAACCTTATGGACAGAGGTTGATATCGAGACAAAGGGAGATCACTTCTAGAGTTTGCAGATTGCGAGGAGTCACTAAGCCAATAATGACAAACAATTAAGTGATTACAAGGACCCAAGATGTTAATACATAGAATGAGATGACTTGGGAGTATACAGAAGAGGCCCCAGAATATCAGGGGGACAGAGAATGTTTCCTGCAGGAATGGATGTTAATTAAATTAATACGATAGAAACAGCAGTAACACCTACCATTGTCTATGCAGCACAGTATATAAAGCGCCTTCAGGCACAAAGTCTCATTTAAAAGAACTCAAAAGGTTCTAAAACAAAGTTATGTAGCATAATAGCTAATATTAATTGAGCTTTCCCAGGTGTCTAGTACTGCACTAAATATTTTGCATGTCTTAATAGTCATAGGTAAAGAGTATTCATTTCCTGGGGTTGCTGTAACAAAATACTACAAACTGAGCGGCTTTAAACAACGGAAATTTATTCTCTTACAGTTCTGGAAGTTAAAAGTCCAAAAGCAAGGTGTCAGTAGGACTGTGGTTCCTCTGAAGTTTATAAGATATATCTTTCTCTTCTGCTTCTTGCTTCTGGTGGTTGGCAGCTATCTTTGCTGCCCCTTGGTTTTGGCAGCCAAACTCCAATCTGTGCTTCTATCATTACATGTCCCTTTACATGTATGTCCCTATGTCCAAATTTCTCTCTTCCTATAAGGACACCAGTCATACTGGATTTAGGGCCCACCCTAATCTAGGATGACCTCATCCTGATTTAATTATATCTGCAAAGACCCTGTTTCTAAATAAGATCACATTCACAACTTGCATGAATGGACACAAATTTGGGGAAAGGTATTTCACCCAGCACATGAGGTAAGAAGGTTTCTGAAGTGACTCACGGTGATCCCTGCCCCACCTTCCCTTATTCACACCCTTGTGTGTGAATTCACTCCTCCCCCTGGCTCCACTCAGTGACTCATTCTTAATGAATAAAATACAGCAAAGGGGAAAAGATGTCACTTCTGAGGTTTGGTCACAAGGGACTATGATTTCTCTTTTGTTCACACTCTCTTCCTGGCTATCCTCATGTGCTTGTTATAATAAAGCAAGCTAGAGAGGCCAATATACCCAAGAATGGAGGGTGGTCTCTCATCAGTCACCAGAAAGAAAGTAAGACCTTCAGTCCAGTAGCTTTCCAAGAACTGAATCCTGCCAGCCATCATGGGAATGAGCTTGGAAGCAAACAAACCTTTAGATAAGACTGCATCCCTAACCAATACTTTGACTGTAGTGGTGAGAGACCAAGAAGTAGAGATAAGCCACGTCTCAGTTCCTGGCCTGCACAGACCATGAGCCAATAAATATGTATTGTGTTAAGCCTTAGGGTCATGTGTGACTCAGCAACACATGACTAGTACAGTAGATGCTATTACTATTCTTCCCACTTACAGATGAGGCATTTAAAAGTTAGTCATTCCCCACAATTTAGCTGTAAGCAGTAGGGCCAGAGATCAAATTCAATCTATCTAACTCAAAATATAGAATTATATTAGGAATTAACAAATAAGTCAATAGGTTGTGGATAGTGAGAGCCAGGTTTTTCAGTGTTGAAGAAAAAGTTACAAAAAAGGGAAGGGGGAAGGCTAGACCAAGGCCTGGTATTGGACTGGGATTAGAGCTATCAATATGAACTCATGGGTTTTAATATATAGACAGACAAAATGAGTGAAAGAGAAACAAGTAAAGAAGTCCAGTAGAAAGTTAGAGATGTCATTTTGGAAGCCCAGAAAAGAGACACAAACTTATAAGGCAGTGATGCTGGGAAAAGTTTACAACAATGGGTTGAAGGACAAGGGCCAGGACAAATCTCCACTCCCTTACCCTGGTCTGACATTGGTAGAGCTCTAAAAGTCTTTCCCTGCCCCTCCTTGTTCTTGGTGGAGAGTATTGGAGGTTCTTACCATAACATTCTGCATGATTGAATCTAAACAAACCAGCCATCCAATTTAAGAAACGAAATTTTGGGATACAGCTGCAGTAGTAGCTTCCAATTTCATTTTGGCAATATGATATTTGCTTGCACTTTGCCAGCCCCATCTGACACTCATTGATATCTGTGAATCAAAAGAAAACACAGCTTTGCATCTTCATAGAACTGTACCATTTTCCCTTGCCCATGGAATCTCTACTACCCATGTCATTCATAAATGTACCCAGAACATCTATTCTTGCATAAAATGACTCCATATTGCAAAGATGGTAGTTCTCATTTAGTTATAAACCCAATATATCCCAATAAAAAAATATCTACAAGCATTTAATGGAGTGATATGAGTTGCTACTATCATGCAAGAATAGCCAGAAAAACTACGAGGAAGGACTAGGCTTCTGGAAATTGGTGGACGTCAAAACGTACTACAAAGTCTCATTAAAACAATGAGATGCTGATGCATGAAGAGATAGTAGAAGAGACTAAAGGTCCAGAAGAAGACCCAAAGACACATGAAACTTTAGAATCTGATAACAGTGACATGTCAAATCATTGGACAACATGTTCTGCTGGCAAAACTGTGGAAAGACAGGTACTCTCACGTGTTGCTGGTGAGAATACAAATTGGTACACCCTCTCCGGAATTAAATTTGGAATATTCGCAATATCTAATCAAGCTACATATGGACTTACCTCTTCACTCAACTATCTCACTGCTAAGACTGTGCTCTACAGACACATGTCCACAAACATTAGAAATGGTCTAAATGTTGGGAATGACTTAAATGCCCATGCTTAAGAGAGAGGTGAATAAACTATGGTTCGTCCCAAAGTTATAAAAAAGAAAATGGGGGCAATCTCTATGAACTGATTTGGAGTAATTTCTAGAATATATTTAAGCTAAAAAAGCAAAGTGCAAAAGGGCATCTATGATGTCCTATCAAAAGTGTCGTGGTCACAGAAGACAAGGACAGATTGAGTACCTGTCACAGATGAGACAAGTCTAAGGATCATGACAATTAAAGGCAATGTGGGATTCTGAAATGGTTCTTGGAACAGAAAAAAAGGGGGGCATTTGGGAAAGAACAAGTGAAACTTGAAAAAAGTCTGTAGTTCATAACATTCCCTGGTTTTGATCATTGTACTGTAGCCATGCCTTTCGTTAACCTTAGGGGAACCGAGTGAAGGGAAAACAGAATTCACTGTGCTGTTTTTGCAATTCTTATTTAGGTCTAAAATCATTTCAAAATAAAACGTTTAAAAAAATAGATATATCCAGTATTGCATGATTCCACACATAGGCTGTCCCAAATTAACAGAAACAAAAAGTAAATGGCGGTGGAGAATCAAGATGGCAGAGGAGTGAGTGGAAGGCACACTGATCTCCTCCCAGGATCAATCTGAAATTTCAACTAAATTGTGGAGAAATCACCTGGAACAAACAACTAAACAGGCGAGAGAGGAGCCTTATAACCTCGGACAGACAGAAGAATCAGCTTTAACACAACGTAACTGGTAAGGAGTGTGGTAGAGACTCGAGAAGGCAGGCGGGGCACCCATGGACGGCTGCATCAGAAGGATATTGAAACAACCAATTGGATCCCCCTGAGATGAGCAGGGTCTAAACCATAAGCAGGGATCTCCAGCCTACAGCACCAGAGCCCAAAAAATACACTGATAACAGCTAGCTGCAAAAAGCAGCAGGATTCCTCTCTGCCAAAGACAGGTAGCTGGAGATGCAAAGAGCCATTTAAAGGGTTAGTGCATAAATTTTTATTTGCAGCCACTTACTCTGGGCTCCTGCAAAGGCTGGGGCAGAGTGGGCTAGAGACACCTGAGGAGAGACTGGGGAAGGAGCCTTTGTGGAGAGAACTAAGAGAGTAGCCAGTGTGGTCCTGGTGCTGACTCATCCCCCATACAGCAGCAGCCATCTTGCTCAGGCAGACCACTCCCATAAGTGGTAACAGTGTGAGAGGACCCAATAGCACCCCCCAGGGAGGACTCGGCCCTGGCCCGGTAGTGCTAAAGCCTGACTGCTGAGTACAGAACAGCAGCCACAAAGAGTAGATTCCTGGCTAAAAGGGGCACAGAGTGGTCTAGAGACACTTGAGGAGAGACTGTAGACAGAGTCTTTGGGGAGAGAACGGAGAGAGTAGCTGGCGGGATCCCAGTGCTGACTCCTCCCCCATACAGTAGCAGCCATCTCTCTCAAGCAGACCACTCCCCTGAGCAGCAGCAGCGTGAGAGGATTCAATAACCCTGCCCCCCAGGAGAGACTCTGCCCCGCCCTGTGGTGTCTAAGCTGGCCTGCTGAGTGCAGAGTGACTAGATTAACAACTGAAGGAGACAGCCACAGACAGCAGATTCCTGGAAGTCTCAGTCTGCCTAAGGTCAGACAAGGTCAACATCTGACATCAACTGAGGCAGATCCAGAAAGAAAAACAGTGGTTCCCTACCACAGAAGTCCACGCCACAAAGTCAGGAAATCAAGACAGATCAATTTAAGAAGCAGAAGCAAAAAAAGAAGAGCCTCATAAATAACAGGAAGACAAAGAAACACCCCCCCAGTTGAAGTGAAAGTTGGAATCCCCAGGAAGAGAACTAAATGAAATAGAAGCATGTAAACTATCAAATATTGAGTTCAAAACAATGGTTCTAAGGAGCTCTCAGTGAGCTCAGAGAGAATTACAAAAAACTACAAGGAAACTACAAGGAACTCACTGCAAACTATATCAGCATGCAAAAGGACATAGAAACTATTAATAAGAGACAAGAGGAAATGAAGAATACACTTTCTGAATTGAAGAACACAGTGGGAGGAATCCAAAGCAGGCTAGATGAAGCTGAGGACCGAATCAGCAAGCTGGAGGACAAGGTAGAAAAAAGCTCCCAGAAAGAGCAAGAAAATGAAAAAAAGACTTAAAAAGAATGAAGAGGCATTGGGGGAAATGCAGGACAACCTCAAACATAATAATATCCATATAACAGGAATACCAGAAGGAGAAGGGGAGGAGGAAGGGATAGAGAACCTGTTTGAAAATGTAACGATAGAACACTTCCCTCATTGGAGGAGAGAAAAAGTCACACAAGTCCAGGAAACACAGAGGGCCTCATTCAAGAGGAACCCAATGAGGCCCACTCCAAGACACATCATCATTAAAACGGCAAATATCAAAGACAAACAGAGAATCCTACAGGAAGCAAGAGAGAAAGAGGTAGTAACATATAAGGGAGCCCTGGTATGGCTAGCATCTGACTTCTCAACAGAAACACTACAAGCCAGAAGGGAATGGCAAGAAATATTCCAAGTCATGAAAAACAAAGGCCTGCAACCAAGACTGCTCTACCCAGTAAGGCTTTCAATTAAACTGGAAGGCATAAAAAGAACTTCTCAGACAAAAGAAGGCTAAAAGAATACACCTCCACCAAACCAGCATTGCAAGATATGCTACAGGGACTGCTTTAAGAAGATGAAGAAAAAGAGTCTATGAACACCCAGTTCCTTTCACAGTCACCAATACTTGATTATTACCAATATTTTTAATACTTATTAATCTGATTGTGACAATGATGTGTTATTTTAATTGCTACTTTATTATTTGTTGAAACTAAACCTGTTTTTGTATATTTCTTGCTTATTTATATTATTTTTAAAAAGATTTAAATGACTTTTTGGTATTCTTTATCCATTTTTTGATTAAATGTTTGTAGAATTATTCCCTAAAAAAAACTATTAACCCTTTTTTAGATATGTTGCAAACACTTTCCTATTCTATTACTTGTCCTTTAACCTTTTTAATATGTATATTACTATATAGTCTTAAATGTTTAATATGGTCATATTGCCAATGTTTTACTTTATAGCCTCTGGGTTTGAATATTTTACTTCTGAGTAAGAAAAATATTAGTTTGTATTTTCTCCTAAAACTCCTTAGATTTTACATACTGATTTTTAACTCACCTGAATATTTTTTGTATAATGTGTGAAATAGGGCTCTATATTTGTTTTATTTCAAGTAGTAGTGGTCCATGCACCTTATTTGTTGAATAAGCCTTATTTTCCCAAATGATTTGAAATATCAATTTAATCATATATTACATTGTTAGACAGACATATATGTTTGTTTCTAGAATGCTCATTTTACTTCACTGATCTACTTGATTATTTCTATGCTGGTGTCATGTTATTTTAATTGCTGAGACTTTATAATGGATTTAAATTTTTTAATATTTTATAATGGATTTTGACATTTAAATAAATAAATGAAGTCTGCATTTAAAAAAAAAAGGAAGAAGGAAGGAACTCTTACCTTTTGCAACAACATGGATGGAACTGGAGAATATTTTGCTAAGTGAAATGAGCCAGTCAGTGAAAGACAAATACCATATGATCTCACCTATAAGTGGACTCTATTCAACAAAATAAACTAAGGAACAAAATAAATCACAGGCATGGAAACATGGAGCAGACTGAAAGTGACCAGAGGGGATGGGGAAGAAGGACAATGGTGGAAAGAAGGGGAAGGGGCTAAACAAAGAACATGTATGAATGACCCATGGACCTGGACAGGAGAGTGGGAATTGACTGTGGGAGAAGGGGGCAGGGTGGGGTGGGTGGAGAAGGGCAAAAGGGGAAAAACTGAGACAACTGTGATAGAATAAACATGACTTACAAAATAAAAAATTTTAAAAAGAAGTAAATGGTGGGAGCTATGGGCTAGGGGAGGGGGACGGGGAGTTGGTGTCTAGTGGGGACAGAGTTTCAGTTTGGGGAGATGAGAAAGGCTCTGTGGATGGATGGTGGGGACGGCTGCACAACAAAGGAAATGTGCTTAATGACTCTGAAAGATACACCTAAAAATGGTTAAAATAGTAAATACAATATGTCAGAGCAATATTTACTATATAAAATAAAACAAATAAAATAAAACAAATCTTAATCTACCACTGTATGCTTCACATTCTGAATTGATGCTACAATTCCATCAATAAAATGTTCAGTTCTACCAATCAGATATTCAGGAGTGCTATTTTTCCTTGGTATTTTCTTGGTCAATGTGCTTTTATTGAGCATCTGCTATGTGAGAACACTGTTCTCTGTCCTAGGCATACAGAGATGATACCTGTCCTGGTGAAGTTCTCAGGCAAACAAGCAAACAAAAATACCACTGCTCGAGACTTCAAGAGCCTAGGGTCTTGGGAACTCTACATTCCTCTAAAGAAATACCACAAATCATCAAGCCAGCATCAGAATGATAATGGGAGAGTGCATAGTGGTAGGGACTCCACAAAGGGTTTGGCACCATCTTGTGATATCCTTGCATCTTTGCATACATAACCCAGGGTTTGAGGCGTAGATGGATGCCTCTGTCCCCCTCCAAGATGAATGTGGATTACAACACCTACCTTCACATTTCTCATTAGCGTCAGTAAATTCCTTCTTCCCAGACACAGACTGATACCCATCCTTACAGGCACAGTGGGTACTGCTGGAGCAGCTGGCATTTTCAGGGCATGGACGACAGAAAGCTGCAGGAACACAAGATTCTTTCATCATGTGCTTATTCATTTATTCAAGAAATATTCCTCGAGCACATTGAGCTACCAGACTCTGTTTTCAAAAGAATATCCTCTTGGGAATAGTTCCATTGGCACCCCTTCAACTACTGAGCACATGTGCTCAAACTGCCCGAACCGTGCCCTGCTTCTGCCACCAACACCACACCATTTTGCTTGACAGTAGAACTTCTCTGGGACCTGTATTTCTTTACCTGAGGGTCTTTCTTTGGCCACCAGAGTCCTCTTTGCTCACCACTTGACAGGTAGCAATACTTTTTCTCCCCCAGAAGCAGCTCTCTCAATCAATGACTGATGAGAATCAGTGCATTAAAAAAATCCAGCTATCTTATTATCAAAAATAGAGAATGGGATGTGGCAAAATTGTAACCCTAATGGATTGCTAATAGGAATGTAAAATGGTGTGGAAAACAGTGTGGCAATTTCTAAAATAAAATTAGAATTGTCGTATGATTTAGCAGTTCCATTCACGGGTATATAGCCAAAAGAATTGAAAACAAGTTCTTGAAGAAATAGTTGTATACCTATGTTCATAGCAGCATTATTCATAGTAGCCAAAAGATGAAATCCACCCAAGTGTCTATCAACAAATGAATGGGTAAATAAAATGTGGTCCGTCCATACAAAAGAGTATTATTCAGTTTTAAAAAATAGAAATCCCAACACACGCTATAACAAGGCTGAACCTTGAAGACATTGGGATAAGCAAATAAGCTCATCACAAAAGGACAAATGCTGTATGATTCCACTCATGTGAGGTGCCTAGAGGAGTCAAATTCATAGAGACAGAAGGTAGAATGGAGGGGTGCCAGGGTCTAGGAGAGAGGAATAGTAAATGAATGTATAATTGGGGGAAATAACTTGCAGGTGCATGCTTCTTAGGTCCAACAGCAGTCCCCATGGGATCAAGAGCCAGTGGCCCTTATGTAACTTGCTGTATAATGGACCCTATATTAGCTCTTTACCTTCCCACCTGACTTCCCACTCCCCACTGGTGCTTCCTAGGAGCAACTTGCAGATAAATGATTTGCTCTCAAGTCCTTATCTCCGGGTTTGCTTCTGGGAGGACACAATGCCAGAAATGGGGAAAAGGCAACACTATATCCCAGAATGATTTGGAACACAGGCTTTTGGAAAAGCAAGGGTACAGTCCAACATCCACCACCTGTGTGACCTTGAGCCAGCTACTTCTCTACAGGGCCTTTGGTCAAGTAGAAATAATATCAGAAACTTATTTGAAAGAATGTCACAAGGATTGAATGAGATGGAGCATACAGTTGGCTTAGTGTTGAGCCTGGAGCAATACAAGAGCTAAATAAATGAGGGAATGTGATAATGGTGGTAGTGGAGAAGGAGGGGGCAGCCCATGTGAGATCTCAGGAGTAGGCAGAAGGCATCAGGGATTAATCACCTCTCCACTGAAAAAGACTCCTTCCTTTTTCTGGAGGCAGGTTGCAGATCTCAATACCTTTCCCCTACCTTTGACCATCATAGACTCACCTCCGGGATTTTTCGCTTCTGACCCTGACAGAGCCAGCAGGACACTGAGACCTGGAACAGAGGGAGAAGGGGATAGTTTAGGAAGGGGGTGCCCTGGGGATCTGCTTGGCTGAAGCCTGGGTGAGTTAGGGGCTTCATCTCCCATTGTTCACTTTACTGTAGACTCTTCCAGGTAAAATACAAACACAAGGATCAGAAGGGCATCCTGTTACTACAACATGAAAGCTACATCTGATTGCAGCTGTAAAAGGTTCTATACCCAACTGTAATGTGTGTTTGTGTTTGTATGAGAGAGAGGAGGTGTTCCCACACCAACAAGCAATTCTTGGGCATCAACTGGGAGTTTTATGATTAAACTCAATTCTGACACTGTCTACCCAGACATAACATCAGATTCCACATGCTAAGGGCTATAGATTGGAGGTTCCAATGTTCCCCTATTAATTTGCTAGAGTGGCTCACAGAACACAGAGGAACATTCTACTTACTATATCACTCATTGGTTGTAAGAGGATACAGCTCAGGAAGAGCCACATGGAAGAGATGAGTAGGGCCGGGCATAGGGAAGGCGCACTGTCCTCTGGGCACCGCCCTCACAGCCCCGGCAACTGTTCACCAACCCAAGCTCTCCGAACCCCATCCTTTTGGATGTTTATGGAGGCTTCATTACATAGGCATGATTGATTAACTAATTGGCCATTGATGATTGATTCAACCCCTAGCCCCTCTCTCCTCCTTGGAAATCAGGGGGTGCAACTGCAAGTTCCATGATCAAAATGGTGGCATAGGTAAATGCAGTACTCATCTCTTCCCACGACCACATTAAAATTACAGCTAAACTACAGAACAGCCATCACTGAGAACCACCTGAAGTCTAGCTGATACAACTATGAATATAAAGAAGATGCTACATCAACGCTGGTAGGAGGGGCAGAGACACAAAGCGGGCTGGTCCCTCACCAATATGTGGCGGTGAAAAATCAGGAAGGCTATCCCAACTGCCAAAATCCCCCCAAGGAGCAAGAGGTCCAAGCCCCACACAAGGCCCCAACAGCATGGAGTTCCACTGCTGAAAAGTGAAGTCCCCATAACTTCTTGCTGTGAAAACCAGCAGGGATTGTGACTGAATGAGACAGAGGGAATCTGGAGTCCCAGGCATTCCTCTAAAAGGGCTTGGGCATGGATTCACTCAGATTCATTTTCTCTGAGCTCCAGCACTGGAACAGTAGTCAGAAAGCGGACAGGAACATGCAGGGAATAACTGAATTGTCTGGCTTTAGGGCAAGAACTGTAGGGGGAGCTTTATCCCAGACAGAAATGCTGGCAGAAGCCATTGTTCATTTGCTAGGACCTCCCCCTGCAGGTGCAGGTGGGCACCATAACTGAGTCTCCATCAACTAGGCTAACACTACCCACCCCCTGCCCAGGTGATTCCCCGAGACCCCACCCCACCCAAATTGTGAGCCCACCCAAGCTGCTTACAGTGGCTTTTCATATAAAAACCCTGTCTCAGCTCTTGCTGCAGACTTCCCTCAAGTCTCTCAAAGGTTTACAAATTCCAAAAAAAGCAGCATCTGGCCTTAGCATGCTCCGTACCTCTTGCGAAGCAGCCTCAAACCCAACACTAGTGGCAGCTGGGCTTGGTTTGCAGGTTGTCCTTTTCCAGGCACCTCTAAGCCCAGCATAAGTGGCAACCACCTGAAGATCACTGTAGCTTATAACAGGTAGCCCCAGGCAGGTCACAGGCAGCAGCTGATCTTGGTCTGCATCTGCTAGAAGACCCCGGAGCCAGTGCACCTGGTGTATAGCTTTAGATCATGGCAGAGCATCACCAGCCACCACCAGCCACCACCATAGGCCACATACACAAGGTGTTGACTCTGCAAGCACCAGAGCCCCACTGACCTTGGAGTCAGCCCCTGCACATCAGCTCTTGTGCTGTAGTTGCATCTGGTCCTAGCAGCCAACTGGTCTGGGGTCAATCCCTCCCATTGACGTACCAACAGCAATCAAAGCTCAACTACAGTGCCTAAAGCCCCTGGCTTGGGTGATGGGGAGGCTGTGCCACTGGGCTCTATAGGACAGCTACTACATAAGGCCACTCTACCAAGCCTGGGAGACATAGCAGCTGTACCTTATACATAGAAGAAAACACAGGGAGGCAGCTAAAACAAGGAGACAAAGAATTATGTCCTAAATGAAAGAACAAGAGAAAACTCCAGAAAAAGAACTAAACAAAATAAAGACAAACAATCTAACAGATACAGAATTCAAAACCAGTAGTTATAAGTATGCTCAAGGAACTCAGTGAGAACTTCAACAAAGATATAGGACACATACAAATGGAGATAAAATATTAAAAAGAACCAATCAGAAATGAAGAATACAATAATTGAAATGAGGGAACCAACAGCAGATTAGATGAAGCAGAGGATCAAATCAGAAATTTGAAAGACAAGATAGCATAAAACCATTCAATCAGAACAGCAAAAAGAAAAAAGAATTAAAAAAATAAGGATAATTTAAGGGGCTTCTGAGTCAACATGAAGCACATCAATATTTGCATCATGGGGCTTCCAAAAGGAGACGAGAGAGAGCAAAAAATTGAAAGCCTACTTGAAGAAATAATGACAGAAAACTTCTTACTTGGTGAAGAAAATAGACCAAAAAAGTCCAGGAAGCACAGGGAATCCTAAACAACCTCTTTGGAGAGGTTCACACCAAGACACATCATAATTAAAATGACACGGGTTTAGGAGAAAAACAGTCCTAAAAGCAGTAGAAGAAAAGAAGTTAGTTACCTATTAGGGATCTCCTGTAAGACTGTTAACGAATTTCTCAACAGAAACTTTGAAGGTCACAGAGGATTGGCACAAAATAGTCAAAGTAATGAAATGCAAGGACCTACAACCAAGACTCTTTCCAGCAAGGCTATTGTTTAGAATCAAAAGACAGGTAAAGAGCACCCCAGAGGCTTTTGGTCAAGATGTGTGACATAGATAGACATGACTCACCTCTTTGCAAAACCATCAAAATTACAACTAAAATATAGAACAAGAATCACTCAGGAACATCAGAAATTGAGTTGAATGGAAGTCTGACAACTACAGAATTGAAGAAACCACATTCATCGAGACTGGTAAGAGTGGCGCGGACGCAGAGCAGCCTGGCCCCACACCCACGTGGATAAAAATTCAGGAGGGATTTCTTGGGAGTGAGGAATCCCAGACCCTGCCAGGACCCCCTGGCCCAGGATTCCAGTGCCAGCAAGTTAAGTTCCCACAACTTCTGACTGTAAAAACCACCAGGGATTGAGTTGGTGGTGGAGACTGCTAAAGCCCTAAGCAGTTCCTCTTGGAGAACCCATACAGAGACTCACCTACTCAGACTCACTCCCTCTGAGCTCCAGCACGGGGGTGGCAGCTTGAAGGGCACCAGTGGTATACAGGGAGAGACTAAAGTATCTGGCATCGGGGCCAGCAGAGGCCATTGCTGAGCCCTCCCCACACAGAGCCACGAGGCTGGCGCCATATCTGAGACTCCATCAAACTGACTAACATTGTGTGACCCACCTTGGAGATACACAGAAGCTCTACCCCACCCAACTTAGAGGCCCACCCAAGTTGCTTTTTCTATAAGAATGGCTGGTCTTGGCTCCTAAGTCCTACCAAACAAGCAATAGCTGGCTTCAGTAAGCCCAAGTGGCAGCCAGATTAAAGTCACAGTTTGACTTCACCTGAGAATCTCCAAGCCCAGCACAAGTAGCAGCCATCTCAAATTGCTTTATAGCTCAGGCAGGGTGTCTTGGGCAAAACGCAGGTAGGGCCTGACCTTGGGCTGCACCGTCTGGGAAATCCCAGGGCCAACTCACCCAGTGGACAGCTACAGACCATGTTCAGAGCATCACCACCCCGCCCCTGCACAACATCCTCTGTGGAGGGCAGAGGTTGCTGGTCCGTGGTCACAGCCAATCCTTGCAGCTGACTGGCCTGGGTAAATTCCTCCCATTGACCTGCTACCAGCAACCAAAGCTCAATACAAGAGGAAGGTATACGCAGCCCACATGAAGGACACACCTTGAGTACCCAGCTTGGATGATAGGGGAGGCTGTGCCACTGGACCCTACAGGACACCTACTACATTAGGCCACACTGCCAAGACACAGTGTTAAAGAAGCTCTATCTAATCCTTAGAAACAAACACAAGGAGGATGCCAAAATGAAGTGACAAAGAAACATGGCCGAAATGAAAGAACAGATCAAAACACCAGAAAAACAGCTAAAGACAGATTATTTGAAATAAGCAATCTATCTAATACAGAGTTCAGAACATTGTTTTAAAGGATGCTCAACTTAGTGAGGACCTCAGCAGCATAAAAAAGACCCAGTCAGAAATGAAGAATACACTAATTGGAATAAAGAACAATTTGCAGAGAAACGACAGTAGAATGGATGAAGCTGAGGATCAAATCAATGATTTCAAACATAAGAAACCAAAAAACAACCACGCAGAACAAGGAGAAAAAAAATGCAAAAAAATGAGGATAGTATAAATAAACAGCTTCTGGGACAATTTAAGAGGTCCAATATGCTCCTCATAGGGACTCCAGAAGGAGAAGAGAAAGAGCAAGACATTGGAAATCTATCTGGAAAAATAATTAAAGAAAACTTCCCTAACTTGGTTAAGGAAATAGACATGCAAGTCCAGGAAGTGCAGAAAGTCCCTGTTATGATGGATGCAAAGAGGCCCACTCCAAGACACATCATTATTAAAAGGCCAAGGGTTAAAGATAAACAGAGACTCTTAAAAAAACAAGAGAAAATAAGTTAGTTACCAGAAGGTTGCCAGATGGGAAGGAGGAGGTGGAGAATGGGTGAAAAGGTGAGGGGGTTACGAAGTACAGAATAACCATGGGGATGTAACATGCAATATAGGAAACAGAGCAGCCAAAGAGCTTGTACGCATGACCCATGGACATGAACAATGATGGGGGGAGTGCCTGAGGGAGTAGGGGGCACCAGGTGGAGGGAGACAAACAGGGAAAAATAAGGACAGCTGTAATAACATAATCAATGAAATATATTTTTTTTAAAAAAAGAGCATCCCAGACAAGAGGAAGCAAAAGGAATTCATCACTACCATCCAGTATTACAAGAAATATTAAAGGGTCTTTTTTAAGAAAAAGGGGGGATCAGAATGAGAATAATAAAATAATAAAAACATATCTATCAACAATTCCTTTAAATGCAAATAGATTCAATGCCTCAATCAAAAGTCACAGGGTGAGTCAATGGATAAGAAAGCAATGCCCTTATATATGCTGTCTACAAGAGACTTGCTTCAGACTGAAAGGTACACACAGCCTGAAAGCAAAGGGATGGAAAAAGATATTTCATGAAAATGAAAAAAAAAACAAAAAAAACAAAAGAAAGAAAACCAGGATAGCAATACTTGTACCAGACAAAATAGACTTTAAAACAAAGGTTATAACAAGAGACAAAGAAGGACCCAGAAATTTCACTTTTGGGTATTTATCCAAATAAACCTAGAAACACTAAACTGAAAAGACATATGCACTCCTATATTCATTGCAGCATTATTTACAATAGCAAAAATATTAAAGCAACCTAAGTGCCCATGAATAGAAGATTGGATAAAGAGTGGTGCATATACACAATAGAATATGACTCAGCCATATACAAAGAAATGTTGCCATCTACAACAATATGGATGGACCTAGAAGGTATTGTGTTGAATGAAACAAGTCAGATAGAGAAAGACAAACGCCATATGACTTCACTTATATGTTGAATCACAAAAGAAACAAAATAAATGAACAAACAAAATATAAACAAATGGATAGATACAGAGAAGAGTTTGATGGTGGCTAGATAGGAAGGAGAATGGGGACTGGGTGAAAAACATAAAAGGATTAAGAAATACAAATTGGTAGTTCATTCATTTCTTTTGTCTCTTTTAGATTCCACATATAATTGAAATTAACAGTGTTGGTCTTTCTCTGTCTGATTGATTTCACTTAGAATACCCTCTAGGTTCACCCATTTTTAAAAGGCAAAGAGAAACAGGTGAAATTAATTTTATTTTATTTAACCCACTATACCCAAGATGTTATCATTTCAACACTAAATCAATATAAAACAAGCCATTCGTTAAGTATTTTACATTTTTTGCAGCATGTATTACGTCTTTGAAATCTGATAGGAACTTGGACTGGTCTTATTTCGAGTGCTCAGTAGCTCCGCGTGCCTGGTGGCTATGGTTCTGAACAGCACAGGCCTAACCTCTTACTAACCAGTGCATTCTCTGGAATAAGGAGAGATTGAAATAGCAAAGACCATAAGAATCTCAGGAGTTCAGGACTGTGGCAAATTTGGAACAGAGAAGGATGTTTTCAAGATGACCTATTTTGCAGATGACCTAAAAATGTCTAGCATATGACTAGACAGAGCTTCCTATAAAGTTGGAGATGTCAGAAATGCAAACAACTTTGCCACAGACTTCCGAATATCACTCCCTCATGGTAAGTGGGAGGGATAACCAGGCACTGGGGAAAGGATTTGCCCTTACCCCTTCTACTGCAAGCAGGCTGAGTTGGAATCCTTCACGAAATTCTGGAGGCACCTGCTTTCATGGCCAGCATCAAGCCCCAAAGTGTTTAAGTGGGACAAATAACGTACAGATAACTGGGATTTGTGTCCCATAGAAGGGGAAGAGGTAAGGTTAACACCTGCTCTTCCTGTCTCCTCTGCTTTATGCTGTGAGCACTGACAAAACCATCACATTTAAGGACACCATTAGGCTGAATCATATGACATGGCCACTTCTGCAGGTCAAAAACGTTCAAACATCAGCAATTCCCCTGTGAATGCTTTTTTTACAAAAATATTACTTGATTCCCAGTGAGCAAACTATAGCCCTTGGGACCACTGTCTGTTTTTGTGCCAAGAATGGTTTTTATGGTTTTTAAATGATTTTCAAAAATCAAAAAGATTTCATAGTGCATGAAAATATATGAAATTCAAATTTTCTGTGTTTATATATCAGGCTCTCTTGGGACACGACAACGCCCGTCAGTTCAGGCCAAGCCCGTGGCCGCTTTTGCGATGCAGAGCGAAGAGTTAGGACAGAGCCCAAATGACCCACAAAACTGAGAATAGTAATTATCTGGTCCTTGGCAGGAAAAAAAAAATTGTTCACTCCTGATATAGTGTATTGGACTTCTCGTGTTTGCTTAGAGCTTCTTTCAGAACTTCTAACCTGCATTTGACTGGTCAGATGGTCTGTTTTACTACTCCAAAGACCCTAAAGCCCCGAGCTCAAGGGCACGCACGTCAGGGTCATTGTAACATCCTAACCTTGCTCCACGCACAGTCATCAGTGTCGTGAAGCATTCCCTTCTCCTACCCCAGAGGGGTTCCTGTGCATGCAGGCAACTTGCTGTCTCTCTCTGTAGGAGGGTACTTCTCTTCAGCCCATGTGGGAACAAGCCAGAACGTTTGGGAGTGACTCTAGGTGTGGTCACCAAGCAGTGAGATGGGGACTGAAGGATAAATAGCTCAGATCCTCGGTCCTTCAAAGGCACATTCCATAAAGCCTCTGGAAGGGCCTCCAGCAGGATTAAACGACAGTTATCCCAGCAGTAACGGCCTGTTAACATGCTCTTCACTCCCCGCTCCTTCCCTCTCTGACATGCTGTCTGTTTACACCCAGTCTTTGTCTCAGTTCTGCTTTGGGAAAGATTGACAAAGAGACTCAAAACACAGTCATTTCTGGAGAAAGTGCGAAATTTGGGGAAGCAACAAAAGCCTTAGCTTGGTGCCATGGGGTCACGGGGAGAAGAGTGAGGAATCCCTCGTCCCACTCACCGGCGAGCAGAGTCAGGCACCTGCTTCCCATAGCGCTGAGACACCAGGGGCAGTCGGAGACGCTCTCCAGCAGGACACGGCAAGTGCTCCTGGAATGAAGAAACCCCATGGAAATCAATTTCTGATGGTCACAGAGTGTAGAAGCCAGGTGGCTGATATTCACCCATACCCTTTCATTTCTGCCCATCTTTTGACCCACCAATTCCATGCCTATGGCATTATCTCAAGGACAGGCCCCTGCAAAGATATCAGAGCAGAGAAGTTTATAGAAAACGCACTTGCAACCCAACAAGTAAGAAAGATGCACCCAATGGAATATCCTGCTAGAATTTAAAATCCTAGTCACGCGGAGTGGTGGTCCCTGAGTGGGAAATGAGGTTGAGAACGGACAACACAAAGACATAACACAAGACAATTTAGAGAAAAGCGGGGGCCAGGTGGGACATTGTCCTCTGATGAAAAGACAATGACAATGACCACAGTCTCCGCATTTATTTTATAGGGGTTGGTTAGATAAAGCTCCCGGGAGTTTTGCAGATTTAGGAGAATGCTGTGCGCATGCATTGCTCCGCCTCCAGGCTATCTACATGATAAAGCTTTCTTCTGCAAAAGTTGCTCCTCTTCAGAGGAAACTTGTGGTTATCTACTCCCTTCTCAATGCTCCCGGGCTTGGGCCATCACCAGTTGCCAGCTTGCTCTGCTTTGCAGATAACAAGCGGTCGAGCGTGGCTTTGCCAAGCACTTAACCTGGTTGTTGATGTCAGCCTTCACTGTCCTCCATGCTAGTCTATTGCAATGGCACCACCAAACTATCCAGTTTCTTCATCTAAAAAAAAAAAAAAAATTAAGGTAAAAACACACAGCGCACTTAGATTAAAAGGGACAGAAATATATCAACAAATTGTAGTGCCTTACTAGACCCGAAACCAAACAATTTCTTAAAAGGTCATAAGGCTAGAGATGTGATGACATTAAAAAAAGGATTGTGCACACTGACCAGTGTGGCTCAGTTGGTTGGGCTTCATCCCACAAAGCACAAGGTTGCCAGTTGATTCTGGTCAGGGCACCTGCCTGGGTTGTGGTTCAGTCCCCAGTCAGGTCACATAAGAGAGGCAACCGACTGATGTTTCTCTCCCTCTCTTTCTCCCTCCCTTCCCTTGTAAAAAATAAATAAATAGGTGGGGCAAGGTAAAGTGGTGGAGAGAAAATGGAGACAACGGTACTTGAACAATAAAAGAATAAATTTAAAGGACAAATAAATAAATAACATCTTTAAAAAAACAAATAGTTTTATAAAAGGTCAGTGGAAAGAAAGACTTTAAATATGTATATGAAAATAATTCAATATTATAAATAAAATAATTTTGTAGGAGGCTATTAAAATAATATGGAAAGCAGTTGTGATATAGCTTTAGGATAACAGCAGGAAATAGATTAAAATATAGGAGATCACATTTAAAGGAATCATAAATGTTAATAAGAGAATGGCATTGTGAGTGATTTTAAATCTTCTGTTTAACTGTAATTCTAAATTTTACATATTACTTTTTAAATAAGAAAACAGTAACAGTCATGGAATATTTTAATAGAAGAGGAAACAAAATGGCTTAAATATGATTTCTCTTGGCAGCTCCATCCCTTCCCTATATCCCTGTTTTGACATAACTGTTCTGCTCTATCACGGAGTTTGAAATCTTCCCTCAACATTTGTTTCCCTTGGTTCCCATTTGGTTCCTATTTCTCCTTCCTTCCAAAAACCTATTCTAAAATACACCGTGGGAAATCCCAGCATAAAGATACCCTGTCTAGTTAAGGACTATTCTTTTTTGAGGTCTCATTTGAAACCAATTTAAATAAGGTATTTTATGTGAAAGAAATGATAATGTTTTCAAGAACAGCTGAGACCACTAACGATGCTGATGTGGGTTTGTTTGTTTTTTAAACCACTATACTTAGGTACGATTGGCATGTAAAAAGATGTACATGTTTAATATACACACCTCATTAAGTCTGAAGAAAAGTACACACTTCTGAAACCGTCACTACCATCAAAGCCATAAACATACCCATCACTCCTAAAGTCTGATCCCCTGCCCCCTTTATGATTACTCTGTGTGTGTGTGTGTGTGTGTGTGTGTTAAGAACACATAACATAAGACCTACCCTCTTAGCAAATTTTAAGTACACAGTACAGCATTGTGAGCCATGAGAACTACACCGCATAGATCTCCAGAACTCATTCATCTCCTGTAACTGAAGCTTTATACCCTTTGACCATCTCCTCCCATGTTTCCCTCTCCCCAGCCCCTGACACCAACTGTTCTTCTCTGCTTCAGTGACTGTGACTACTATAGCTTCCACATATGAGTGAGATCGTATAGTATTTGTCTTTCTGTGCCTGGTTGATTTCACATACATGATAAGGCTGATTTGGAGAGAACTTTAGCCATGACCCACTGTAAGAAATACATTTTGCTCCAGAGAGATAGAGGGAGAAAGAAAAAGAAGTGAGCCAGGTTTCACAAATCAATATTAACTATATATTAACTATATGTAGCTTTCAGTATTACAGTCTTGTTGTTCCTTTTAAAATGTTAGTTGGTACCCACTAAATTGGTTTCATGACCCCACCCCCCATCACTGTGTCACAAGAATCTGGTTGAAAAAACACCGACCTGCAGATACTTTGGCTGTGAACAGACAAGCCTTTCCCTGCGAGCCTGGCACTAACTGTGCTGGTATGTTTATGGGGGTGAGGTGTGTGGCATGTGAATAGGGTTGGTAATTCACTGTGGGGTCTTGAGAAACTCGCTCATACTTTTAGATCTTGTTTTCTCATTTTTAATAACAAATGGGTTATCTGCTACATCTACTTCAGACTCTGTCTTGCAATCTTGCACCGTTCTTACTTGGTTTCCCTTAAGCTCCTTAATATGCAACTCACCATCTCTTTGCAGTGTATGGAAGCATTTAGGCTATTGCACACGACCACCTAACATCCACTCCTCTCCAAGCAGAAGTGGGCAAATGCATGTGAGACACATGCCCCAAAGCAGCTTTCAAGAAGTAAAGCCTCAGGACCTATAATGAGATCTCTTTGGATTTATTTCCAGTACCAGAATATTTTTCTGTACCCAAGATCAAATATGAAACATTTTTTTCTATAGAAAAAAAAAGCACTAAACCAGGTCCTACTTACCCACAAGATGAAAATCCCTTGCTTCACACCCAGCCTACCAGCTTCTCAGCCAGAGCCAAGAGAAGAGGGAAGTATGTGACTTATTATCTGTACCTCTGGTTTCTCAAGGGGCATTGTGGGCGGAGCGGGCTGGGGTGTTGGCAGGCAATTTGCATAATGCAGGGACCATTAGGTAGTACGCAACAAGGGTGGACCTTGTTAAAGCGCCTCAGAAAATGAACGTGGAAATGGTGATGGCATCCAATGGGGAAATGAGGTAACGGAGGCAGATGCCAACTTCCACCTGCACCAAGGAAATGGATGCAGCTTTGAGGACACTCCTTCGAGTTGGTAGACTTCTTAGGGAGTGACTTGAAGGCCAGAGGATGGGAGAGAGTCAGTCTCTCTACATCTTAGCCAGTCTCCTTTTGTCATGTTGCATCTCAGTTTACCGCTTTGGGAAAGCAGCATGTCCAAACTCTCGGTCTTCGTGACAGGGTCGCCCAGCATAACCACACTGACCTCCTTGGCTGGCGAAACTCGTAACTGGTCCCATGAACATGGCGCCTGAAATTTCCTTCTCCTTTATAGTAGAATAATCTTTGTAAGATCAGCAAAAATATGGTAAGTACCTCCTACTTTGACAAATCCAAATACACACCTTCCCTGAGCAGAGCAGTAGGCTGTTGCCATCACAGGATTCCAGGGGGGCTTCACAAACCGGGAAGAAAATGCTCATTTTGAGGGACAGAGGTGTGGCCACCTCTCAAACTGTGATTTATACCTTGTCTTGGTTTTATTACATTTACGAAACATTGCCTTATTATCTCTAACCTGACTATCTTCCTTTTTCAGTTTTCCATTTCTTTTGCCAATGAGAACCCATGCAATACAATACTTATTTGATCACCTGGATATAGCTGTCTAGATGGGCTGGCCCTCAGCCCCTCCATGTCAGATTAAAAATATTTGCTGCATGTGCTACTCAAAATGTTTCTATTGTATGGCAAAGGGAAGACGGTTTAAGCCTATCATTGTCAGCTGAACTGAAATGAAAATTGTCTGGATGTTAACTGAAATGCCAGAGACAACAGTCCCTGAAATTCTGAGCATTTCATGTGCTCACAGCCTAATTCTGCAGGTGACAGATGATCTGCACAAACAGATGTCAGAATGCCCCTTTGTGTGCAGTCCTACCATGCCGACTCGAAACTTGACCACGTGGCCGGCTTTGGCCAAAGAAACAACAGACAGAATGCAAGCAGAGATCTGAAAAGCACTTGGATATTGCGGTTTGTCCTCTTTTGCGGCACCTGAAACCCTGAGTTCACTCTGTGAATGAGCCTGAGCTAAACCTCTAGAGGAGGAGAAGCCATGTGGAAGAGAACAAATCTCACTCGTCAATCATCCATCACTCTGGTGGCCAACCTGTCAATTACCAAATGTAGGAGGGAGGCCATGCTAGATCATCCAGAAACCAGCTGACCCACCAATGGACCAAAAATGAAGGGCAGAGCCCATCAGACACCAGCCAAGCCAGCCCAGACCAGAAGAAGCATCTAGCCAACCCACAAAATCATGAGAAAAATAATGTAGCTGTTGTTTTAGGCAAAAGAAATTTGGGGGTGATTTGTTCACAGCCAAACTTAACTGATATACTTCACAAAGTCGATAAAGACGAACTAGAACTTTAAGCAAACATAAGGCCAGGAGGGCTTATGAAAATTCTCACAATGTAACTGAAAGAACCCTATGGGGGAAAAAAGGGGAAACCCTATGTTTATAATGAAGCTCTATGGTTCCAGCTCCTCCTTCCCCGAACTTTATGTGCCCCCTCTCTCTCGGCATGCAGG